AAAATTTAAACCCCTTAAATTTTTAAGATTCCTTTTTCTGCCCACCCCCCCCCCCCCCCCCCCCAAAAAAAAAAAAAAAAATAATGTGGTCAAATCTTCAACTTATTAAAATTATTCAAAAGTATTTACACTATATAGGAAAAACTGTCGCTTGACCAATTTCTACTGCAGCAATTTATATCACAGTAAAAAAAAAAAATACAACAAAAACATAACAGACGATTTAAAATGAGTCCAAATTTTGTTTTGTTTGTGTTTTTTATCATTTTTGAGTAGCAACTAAAATTGCAAACATTAGCAGAAAATCCCATCACACGTTAAACATCATTTGGATGAGTCAGAGAATTAAAAAAAGTGACAGAGAAGTTAGCATTAGCGTCATCTGCTAATGAAACAACCAGCGTCTGCATGAAAGTGACAGAGGAAGAGAGGAAGGGAGGAGAACAAAACCACAAACCCCTCAGTCACAGTTTGGACTTCAGAATGAAGAAACGGCAAACTCTGCTCTTCTGCTTCCTAACAGGTGGGGAACGATTTCATTATTGTTTACATGTTTATTTTATTGTTTCTGCAGCACATGACAAATTCACAACCATGTAAATGATTTTTGCGCTTCAGTCGTTTGAATTCATCTGTATTTTGTCTATAATAAAGAAATGGCTGCATTTTTAAGAAATAAGTAAAAAAAATGTCTGACTAAACTGACACTTTGAGATTTTATAACCAAGAAAAACTAAGAGATTTTAATAAAAATGAGACTTAAAGGCTCAATCTAACTGGTTAATATAAAACAATTCTCAATATACGAATGATCCGCTTTTATACTCATGTCTTTTCATAAACAATTCTCAGAGTTTATTTCGTATAATTCAACCACGGAGCTGGTTTTGGTCTTTTTCAATATTTTTATGTCTGTTGTGGATTATTTAGCTCTTTTATCAAGAAATGTTTGGATTGTTTAAAGATTAGTCTTCTCTCTTCATTTTTTCAACAATTTTTAATATACTATAATTTAAATGTGATTCAATATCTTTACCTGCTTGCCATTGTAACCTGTTGCCTGTATTTGGGTTTTTGAAAGTTTTAAAACAGATTTTCATGTCTAAACCACACACAGTAAAAGTCAAAGTTCCTACAAAACTTTATTGATGAAATCTTTACTTTTTTCCTCTTGCTTTTTCTTTTTCTCATGTTTTCTTCCTGCTTCCTCTTTGTATTCACTACATACTATACTTCCTCCCTACTTATTATTTCACAAGTGTGTTTTACATCTTATGTTTATTTATATTTTCAATTCAGGTCAATTCTACAATGGAAAAATTTTAAATTACGAGAATAAAGTTGAAATAATACGAGAATAAGTCGTAATATTCAGGAGAATGAAGTAGTAGTTTTATCAGAACTCCAACACAAAAACAGATAAAACATTTAAATGAGGAATCTTCAACTGGTGTCAGATTTATAGATAAGGAAATACTTTATCTTTTAACACATCAGCATCAAATTACCAGTAAATGATCGTGTAAACAAAGAAAGGTTTACTGTTTACTGTTTCAAAGAAAGGTAAAAATCATTAAAACATCTTTTTGTTTCACAATTTTAAGATGTTCCTCTGGTAAAATAATATTATGACTATTTTCTTGTAATTAGACAAAAATTCTTATAGCCTGGCCGTCATACAGCCTACAGAAGGGATGATAAGTTACTTTTTGACAATATTTTTTTGTCATTTGCAAATTCTTTTCTAGATAAAAAAAGAGAAAAAAAAACAATTAAAATCGGATCTAGTATGTATGACAGAGTATAGAAGGTATAAAAAGTCAGAGATTTGATTTTTAAGCCATAGCCGTACTTCCACTCAAAGTTCCTGGACACATGACCTAATATGGTCAAAGCCAAACTTTACAGCTTTTTCCACATAAATTCAAGACATTATGGAGGCCTGCATATCTCATAACTTGCACTAAAAGCACATCTAGGCGCAGTTACCTACTCAAAGGAATGCATAAAACACTGACTCTTAAATCACTGTTTTCCAGGAGCATCTTTTCTCAGTAACACAGCAGCAGGATTTCCCATTTACACAGCAACCGAAGGACAAAACGTCTCCTTTGAGTTTCCGTTCACTCTGGTTGGAGGCGGCAGACGATATTTATGCAGAGAGGAATGTAAAAACAACAACATCATCATCGAGACGAAGTCAGCAGATACTCAAAATGGGAGTTTCCACCTCAGATATCGTAATGGAAATCTACAGGTCACCATCAGAGAGCTGAAGATGTCCGATTCTGGACGGTACAGGTGTGGAGTAGCCGGGTCATCGCTGTCTGAGGTATTTGAGGAAATATTCGAGATCAGAGTTATTGAAGGTGAGTTTCTCTCTAAACTTAAACAATGTTGGTTCAAAGCCAAACACTCACACTGAAGACTTAATATTGTTGACATTTAGCTGCAGATTTAACACAATTCACAATGTTGGTTAGTGTAGAAAACGTTTTAATGGGATTATAGTGGAAAGTAAAGATGTACTGATCCGATATTAATATCTGTACCGAATTCTAGATTAGGTAACGATGTGCCCAATCCACAAGGGTGGATCTATTTAGTCTAATTCTATGTTTTCCACTCTGAAAGACGTCATTTTTAAATTTATTTTATATTATATTTAGAATTCCCAATATATTGTTCACAAGCCTGAACCAGAAGGGATTTGAACCGCCATCTTGGTAGGCAAGCACAGTGCTTATAAGTTTGTTTATAAGTGAGATAGGAAAGAGGCCACAGCTTATTCAAAGCTTGTGGATTGTTCATTGTTGTCATAGTAACTCCATAGCAACTGCCTTGACAGTTAGCTATGGATACCTACCAAGATGGCTGTCAGATACAAAGTTCCCAGTGATTTGATAGGTTTGCTTCAGTTTATTTTTTACCTGTCTGACCAAAGGTAGTCTACTTATCGTTTTTGTCAGTTTCTTTGTTATTAATTTCACATTGGCTGTTACACTCCTGATTGCACTGAATGAACAAATTAAAGTTGTGTTGTTTTCACATGTTTGAGCAAGCTTGTGAAGCTATTAGGTGTATTCAAGTGTGCTGTACTGGGTTATCAAACAAATTTGTAATTTACAAAACAACAAATTAATCATTCTAAGTAAATTTAGCAGTGTTTTTCTGTATCAGTCGACACTAAACCTCATGTATCTACATCATTAGTGGAAAGATGTCATGGCAACAATGAGTCGCTTCAGCTTTTACACAATCTGAGCCAAAGTAAGAGCAGCTTGCTGACTCAGCAGCTGCTCCCAAAGTGACTAACATGTATCTGACTGCGTCACAATTTCATCATATCTATGAAGTAAACCACTCAGATGAGACACAGCAGACAGTGAATGTGGACATGTGTTAGGAGTTTAGTATCCTGTGAGTTTAAGAGTGTCTAAAAAGAAAAGCTACGTTCACACTGCAGGCAAATGTGACACCAAATCCATTTTTTTGGTCTACATCTAACTCATATCCATCTTTTCTACAGCAGACTATGCGGCCCAATTCTGATCTTTTCACCCAAAAGAAAATCCAATTTGTGCCACTTCCATATGTGGAAGTAATTCAGATAAATTGTTTTCAAAGCGTCTGCAGTCGGTCATGTTGCATTTTTACGTCATTAGCCGAGTTTCTCTGGACTACATGATGGGGCAAATTGGATAAATCCGCTTCATGGACACACGCCTATTTTGACAAAAGTTAACGTCTTTGATAAAATGTTTTTGCGCTAGGATGACTTTTTTTTTTTTGGCCGTATTGAAATTAATTCATTTTATAAAATTCCAATAGAATCCCTTTTTTTGCATCACGAGTCACATGATCAACAATCGTATGTTGTTGATCATGGCGGAAAAGATGAAGAAAATGCCGCTGCATGTCTTTTTTTTAATAACTTAGCATGTATGATTTTAATTCGTTATTTATTTAATGGAAACACCCCGATTGCGAAATTGTGTTTTTTCAACATCAGAGGAATATCGTCAAAGTTTTGTGCTGTAATAGAAACGCAGCTACATGTGAGACATTTAGCTGCGTTTGTGCCTCATAATTCTCCACCAGAAGAAGCCAGATGTGGTAAATCTGGACGTAAAAAAGGCTCAAACTTACAATTATGAACTTTTGGGAGATGTTTGTGTCTCTGAAGTGCATCACATCACAAACCCATCCACATCCAAACACTTTGCCACATAAGCTGCAACCAAAAGCTGCGTCTCCATTACAGATCTGCGCATATTTTGTTGATATTCTGGTAATGTTAAAAAAAAAAAAAAAATTTTTGCAATTGTGGTGTTAAATTAAATTAAAAAAACATCATATAATACCTTTGGATGTTCCATTTAAAAGAACAACCAATTCAATCTCTGATTGGTCAAAGCATCTGCAACAAGCAGACTATGTTTACTACAATGTATAAGGCAGATTAACCATGACTGATTTATGAAAAATTAAGCAAAATGGACTTTGGAAACTAATTTCTGTGTCGTTTCAAGGGAACGCAGTTACTGATGTGAACTTCATACGAACAACACAGAACACGTTTGAGAATCTGGACTCTTCAGAACTCACTTCACAAAATCCAGTGATCAGCAGCCTTCAGTTTCAGAGGGTTTCCAGCACCGCTTTGACAGATTTACACAGTGAGTTCCTCAGTCAAGTGCATTACTGCTCTGTTCATTCACAGTTTCTGCTGAAACCCAGATTAAAGCTTCATCCTGTGACATAAGAGGAAATATTTGAAACTGAAAGACTGTAAATTACTACCAAATTGGATTTCTTTGCTTTCTCCATTAAGGGCATTTGAGATTAAATAGAAAAGAAGAAAATGCAATCATTCATGAAGAAGAAAGTAGAAAGTGCAAAACAAGAGGGAAGGAAAAATACAGAACTAAGGGAACAAAATCCAGATGCACAAAGAACAGAAAATAAGAATAAATAATGAAACAAAGGAATAAACTGACAGAGCAAGACAACAGAATAAACAACACACTGAAAAAAGTGAACATGTGACCTAACTTAAATATATTGTGTTAATTGGTCACATGTAATCAAATTAATTTTGTCCAAGTTTAAACAAATGTAAATAAATAAGTTTGACAAACTTCATTCAACTACTTGTGACCAATTAATTTATTTAACTTGAAACACCTGTTTTTAAGTGCATGGAGGTGATTAAAGCACTAATAAAACCCAAACACCCACTAATCCAGCTTTCATGCATTATAAATATCATCCAAGCTTTATCTTGTAAAAAAACAATTAAACTTCACTGATTATTTTGTGTTTTTACCAGAAACTGCAGGAAGTCCTTCAACCACAGCAGCAACATCCAAACAAATCAGCCTATCAGGTGATTTACCTTCATATCACACGCTGTTGTTTTGGTTATTTACTTGATTTTCACAAACACCAAACCTGATTTTACTTTAAATGAACCCGATGTAATTTGTAGAGCTTAAAATGGACTGAAATGCTTGTATTTCCTAGCTCTTTATGTTTTACAGTTGATTATATTCATCTGGTTTTGAAATTATGACGTTATTTGCTTCAAGCTCTTCCTCTGATTGTCGGTGGTGTTGCCACGGCGACTGGCGTCTCAATAGCCGTGTTTCTAATTCTGCTTTACAACTGGAGGACGAGAGCCAATGGTAAACCCCATCTACAGACTTACTTAACGTGCAAATTTAAATGCAACCAACAAGCAAAAGAATTTTACAAATTAAAATTATGGGAAGCAGTTTTTCACATTTTTATTTATTCATCTACATTTGTTCACCTTTTCTTTCCCTCAGGTGCAGACACGAGAACGTCAGACACAGAGGTAACATGAAGGTTGAAGACTCTGGTTAAGTTTAACTTTTACCAGAATTAGTCAAAAACAGAGATTCTGACACCCAGATAGTAGAAAAAAAAGATTAGAAGACATTTGTTCTCTTTTATTTCAGGTGACGTATGAAAACTGGGCACTAGGATCCAGATCTGAAGACCCCCACTACCAAAACCTTGATCCAGCCAGCATGGATCAGGAACCAACTTATTTAACTCTCACTTAGGACGCCAAGTTTTTACAACATCCACTTTATTAGTGCTTTAAAGTGGCAGTATTATGTAAAAATATAAAAATGTATATATATATATATATATATATATATATATATATATATATATAGCTTTACATCATGTTATGTTTTTCTCTCCTCAAAAACATACCTGGATTGTTGCCTTGATTCTTTCATGCCTCTTTGTGAAATTCTTTAATCTCCATGGCAACCATTGAGCCGAAAGTAGGCGGAGTTTCAGAAAGAGCAGGAGTTTCTTAAAGAGACAGTGGCCCAATTTGAAGGCATTATATTAAAAGGTCACATTTTCTTGAAGTCATATTTGATATATTTTGATAACTGAAGGTAACAGATACACTGAAAAAAGAAATTAGACCTAACGACTTAAAAAAAATTTTATTACAAGTAATCAAATTAATTTTTTTTTTAAATATATATATTAAGTTTATTAAATCGTGATATTAAACATAAACTTAATTTGGTTACATGTAATAAATAAATTTAAAGTTAAAGCTCCAGTCTCTTTTTTTAGTGTACTTGATTTTCCCATAAAATGCAACAACATGCTTAGAAAATACATAACACAGCCCATTTAATTAAACATTTTTTAACTTGTAGTTTATGAGAAAAAAATTATTTTTCCTGCTAACTTCTCTATGACATATATTTCATGCAATATTTCCCATAATTGCTGTCTCTTCCTTCAACAGTTTCCTCATTTTTTCTGCCAATATGACAAAAATACTTCAGATTTGCTCAGTTCCCAACCTGCTTTTTGACAAACTTCCACAACATTCAGGTTTTCTTTATTCTGGTCTAATCTGCATCCGCAGAACCATAACCAAAAATGGAGAAACAGCATTTAGTTTTTATGCTCCTCTAATCTGAAACAAACTTCCAGAAAACTACAAAACTGCTGAAACACTTTAGATCAAGGCTTATTTAATGTGTATTTGCTCGCCAATTTTAATAATGGAATTTGACAAAATGATTCATAATTTTGACTGTATTGTGTTTTTTTATGATGTAAAGAACTTTAACCATATTGTGGCTGAAATGTAATATAAAAAATAAACTTGACTTAAATGGGACAAAATTTTGACACTGTTCCATAAAAGTCAGATTTGTTGGAGCTGGATTCATACTGAGATTAAGTTGATTAAACTTTGTGTTGGGGTATCAGAGTAAAGGGGTATGAATACAAATTTAAGCCACAACTTCTAGAACTTTGTATTTTTTGTTTTTAATTATATTAACTACAATTAATATTTATTTTTCTGTTAATTAAATCCTAATAAAATCAATTTAAGTTTGTGTTCTAACTTGCTGTAATAATCGGTGTGGAAAATATTAGGGGAACTGAAAAAATATGACCTTCAGTGACACAATGGAGCTAAACTCGGTCAGGAACTGAGAACGCCTTGTGGTTTCAATAGAAAACAAAGATTTTTTATGCTTTCTGTAAATTCCTCACCAATCTGGAACCTTGGTGTCTGTCCTGACCTTCATTTCCAAACAAATGCATCAAGCAACAAAATTTGTGGATGAGTTTTATAGAAAACTGATTTGCTTTCAATGAACAGAAAAAAACTGATTTATTTTTAATATCTGATCTGACTATTAAAGAGAAAATAACAGATTGGGATCACTGGTGCCGTCTTGCTTTAAGTATCAGCAGGTAAATTGAGATGTTTATGAATCAGTTTGCATCGTCTTATTTCACTTAAAACTTCTCCAGAGGCAGAAAGTGAACGAGTTGAGCTTTAAATCCACTTTCAGATGTCAGGTGGAGAAACTGATCCTCAGATTGGGGGTGTGGTGAAAACAGGCACCGACTATAACAAACAGAAACATCACAGAAATGTTTTTAAACAAGACGAGCGTCTCTGATTATGATGTGGAAATAAAAACCTGCAGCTGAATCTGGAAGCAACTTCATCAGAAAACCAGGTGAGGCTGAGGAAGATAAAACCACCACACTGCAAAAACACAAAAACCTACCAACTATTTTTAGACCAGTTTCTGGTGCAAATATCTTGTACACTTGAAATAAAACTAAACTTACAACTAACTTTTCAGCAAAATACATTAGCTTGTTTTAAGTCAATAATTCCTTAATTATGAAAAAGTTCTAGTTCAACTAGTAGTTTATTTAAATTTTAACTAGACATTTTTCCCATGTTACAAGTAAAATAATTTGCCAATTGTACTAGTACTTTTTCATTTATATTAAGGAATTATTGAATGAAAACAAGCTCCGATATCTTGATGAAAAGTTACTTGTAAATTAGGTATTTTCACTTTAATCTAAACAAAATAGATTTTGTGTTTTTGCAGTGAAAAAGGAAGAGAGCCATTTGACCGTTTAGCAAGTAATTCCTCGTTGGTCAGAAATGTATGGACTGCATGTGACTAAATAGTTGAAATCCTTCTTCTGCAGACTAAAGAGATTTTAAAGAAAAATGCAACAAGCTTTCATCTTCTGCCTCCTGTCAGGTAAGGAAAGATGCCTAAAACATGTAGGATTTTGCATCTTTATAATTCCATATTTTTATTTTCCACAATAAAAATACAGTAGAAACAACAAATCCAAGAATGTTTTGGTACTATGCAACAGCTTCCTGGTTTGGATAATTCTCCTACTTTGTAAGAATACAAAACTGTAAAAGCAGAAACAAATGCATTCAGAAGCATTTGTTACACTGCAAAAACAAAAAATGTTACCAATTATTTTTGGTCCACTTTCTTGTGAAACTTGAAAAAATACAAAATGAACTTACAGATAACTTATCTGCAAAATATAAATTTTTGCATATATTTTTCTTATTTTAAATGTACTAAGGTATTTGTAGATGAAACTAGTCAAATCTTGGTAAGGTTTTGTGTTTTTTGCAGTGTGCTGAGAAGATCTACAGCTTGTTCCAACATTAAATGTTAACTGTTGGCTTTTCTTCCAGCTCTCTGTGGTGCGAAAACACTGATCCAAACTAAAGGAGGAAGCATCACAGTGAAATGCTCCTTCGCTTTGTCTGGAAGAGGGAAGTACGTCTGCAGGGATCCGTGTGAAAACGGAGATGTTCTCATTGAAACCGAAGCTACGGAGGCTCAAAATGGCCGATACAGCATCAGTTACAGAGAAGGAACCTTTCCAGCTTCTTCTACTGTTCTGTATGTGAACATCTCGCAGCTGATCCAGTCCGACTCCGGGCGCTACTGGTGCGGATTAAAAAGGCGTTTAATGATTGATTCACGCCAGGAGTTTATCGTAAATGTCACAGATGGTGAGTTTTATTTTTATTCAGGATTATTAATACCCCATTAGTTATCAAACAAATCTTTTTAAATAAATGCCAGAAAAAGGTATTCCAGTTATACCTTCATAAACATGGAGTTTATTTATCAATAAAATAACTTTAAGTGGCCAGATTGGAGTAAATGGCTTACAGCAGAACTGAGATCAAATGTCAAAATGTTGATGTTGAATGAATATAATTTCTTCCACAATAAACTGATTTTAGAGTTTTTGTTGTTGCTGAAGTGGAGTTACCATCCTGGGTTCATGAGGTTCACTGCAGCTCAACCAGCTCTTAAAATATCTCTGAAGAACAAAAAAACGGCACCATTGGCACGTCATTTACATATTAGGGACATTATAGACAGAAACAAGAATGGAGAAGTAAATTTCTGTTAAAAAAAAATCAATAAATCTGAGACAAAGCTCAGAAATTTTACATAAAAATATGAAAGTTTGAAAAAGTGAAATTTTTTTGACTTTTTCAAACCCAGAAATTTCCTTCTTTTTTTTTTTGCTAGAATATTTCTGAGATTCATCTCAAAATTTCAGATTTTTGACATACCTGTTTGTGCAGCAGTGTATTGATTTTTCCTCCAGTAGCATTTTCTGGCCAGTTTGAACAAATAACTGAACAATGTTCTGCAGATTCGTGGAAAATAACAAAAACATCTGTGTGGTTTTCTCAATATTCAGGGTTTTTAATTTTATGATATTCAATTTTACATCAAGGATATTTAATGATTATCTTTCACCCGTTAGCTTTATTTGTTTCTTTTCTAAAGTTTTAAAGATCACCCACAGCACCCGTCACTAAGTTTTTAATTTATGCCTCAGTATATTAGCCATAACTGTCACAGATAAATTTTTCTTCTGTTTTCACTCACAGATCTGAAGGAGCTGGAGCAGCAGACAGAGGCGAAAGGTCATGACCTGCAAAACTGAAGCTCTATGCATTAGCTTCAGCATTTAATACTTAAAGGGGACCTATTAAGTAAAATTCACATTTTACACATTTTGTATTTCCATTTCAGCTTCTACGGTTTCTAAAAACAGTCTGATAGGTACTTTTTCTCGAACCTATATAAAAAGACACAGACAACGTATATGAATTTTATAGACAAAGCTTTTGCAAAAGGAGAACTCTCCGCCACTGCCTGACAGGCCGTTCACAGAGAGTTCTGGTCTGCTTTCGCGTGAGCCCCTGTTTTATTGTCAAGCAGAACAGCCAGAAAAAAACAACAGAGGTCGTAAAACTTCTAACCTAAACAAACCAGCAACTCAGTTCCAGGTGTGATATCTGAGCCCAGTTCAGCTCTAGGTCAAACTGTCAACAAAGAGGGAGGATAAACAAGAGACAAAATACGACTGCTCACAGGCAGTTAGGAGGTATTCTGGTTGATAAGAATTAAGGTCTGGGAAACACAGAGTTAACTGTCTCACATGAAGATGAAACAGTCAGTCGTAACCTNCANGTCAGTTTATACACACATAAGGAAGAAAACACTTTAAACTAAAAATCACAATAATACTGATTAACATTAGACTGAATATGAACTAAAGTAATAACAAAATGATAATACCAAAAATCTCTATCATTTCCCCCCTTTTTATCATTTTACTATGTGTATAAACTTCATGCAAAA